AAGTTTATTCCTATTGACTTGGAGGATGACGATTTTTGTTAACAGATGTATAAGGAGGAGAATCTGGTTTTAGAAAAAAACAGATAATAGGAAATAGGGGTCATGTCAGGAGGATCTGGCCAGGTGGGCGTCCAGATACAGATGCTCAGTAAGCAATTACAAATATTTTTCTGAACTCAATAATTTGGGATTTTAGATATTTAAGCTGTCACCTTAGTGAGTTGGTCAAACCTCAAGGAATCCCGCTAATTCACCATTAGAGGCCAGAGAGGAACCAGTGAGGGAAGAGCAAAAAGACCAGAAGAAGAGCAATAATGAAAAAACTGTGCCAAGTCTTGGAAATCCTGAAGTCCAGGTCAGTCACCACTCTTAAATCATTCAGAGAACCTAAGAGTATAGATTGAGAACCAGCAACGGTGCTGGTAATTTTGGAGAGTTCTTTCAGGAAAGTAGCATGGGTGGAGCCATGGTTTTTGAGACTGAGCAGTAAATGGTGAGAGAACAGAGGAAACCAAAGATGTAAGATGTGAGAGGATTGGTGTTTGAGGACAAAACCAAGGGGAAGGAGCCAGGGGGGAGGGAAGACTGAAGATTTGCTAAAAGAATGGAGCAAAGTCTGAAATGAGTGTGCAGCAAGAAAATTAAATGCATATGTGGAGAGATTGGCCTTCGAAAGAGGAGAAAATCATCCTCAGAGTTAAATGGAAGGGAGGAAAGACCAAAGCTTAAGATTTTGATGCCATGACGCTGAGGCATTTGGTTGTTCGGTCTCCACGTTTGAGTAAGGAAAGAAATGCCATTATGTGCTTTGAAAGGAGCAGGGTGGAGCGGTCGAGGGACACAGACATAAGTTCCAGTCTCCTGCCACAGCTTACAGCACATCACAGACATCTTTCATGTAGATCTCGAGCAAAATGGAAGAAGAAGTAATAGTGAGTGTGGCACTGCTCCTTGGTACAATGCATTTAGTCACAGCAGAAGTAACCTGGTAGCAAAAAACATAAGGAATGGAGTCTCCTCTATTTACTGCGCGCCAGCCACACAGCAGCCTGGCGGTTACCTCCAAAAGCACTAGACTCCCATCAGACACCATTCTGTTATTTTAAAGCGTTATCACAACTGTGTGGCCTTCCTTGCGTGGCAAGTCTGATCTGACACAGTTCACAAAAATAGAAAACCACCAATTTTATTCCTGTGGCTTCCTACCCATTGTTTGAGCATCTCATAGTGAGTCTGAATACAGAAACATTGTTATTTAGTTTAGTGATATGGTCTTGTGATTATGGAATTCCTGGTTGAAGGGGCTTTCAGTTATATTCAGAAAATCCCATTGATCCCATCAATGCCAAAAACAACCCATTAGTGTATGGTCTCATTTCATAATGACTATTAGCTGGACTTATGGAAAAGGATAAGGCAAGAATTTCTTTCTCCTCATTATCCATGTCTAAATTAGGAAAGCTATAAATATGCCGATACATATGTTATATGATAAGGATTTTCTAGTACATGTGCTTAGGAAGTAATACATGGCAGTTATCCTTGAAAAGGCAATTACAAAGAAAAAATGCAGATCGTCATTTCTAAGACTAAGAAATGTTATATCGGAAGAATTAAAATAAACATGCCTGAATATATAGGACCATAGAAGCAATGGAAGTTAGATTTGGAAGGGAATTTAGGGAGAATTTTAGGCAATCTCTTCCCTTTAAGACTGAGGGATCTGAAGCCCAGAGGAGAAAATAGCTTCCTGAAGAGTACAATCTAGTTCAGCCACAAGTCTTCTGACCCACAGTCACTGCAGAGTTTCCCTCTGCCACAGTGACAAATTTCTATCAGGCTTCTGAGGAATTATTTCCAGTGCCAGAATAGTGAATATATGGCATATACTGGGCACTCAATGAATTTTTTTTAATTATTTATTTTGAGAGAGGGAGAGAGAGGGAGGGAGCACTGTGTGAGCAGAGGGAAAGGCACAGGGGGAGGGAGAGGGAGGGGAGAGAATCTCAAATGGATTCCCCACTTAGCGTGGAGCCTGATGTGGGGCTTGATCTCAAGACCATGAGATCGTGACCTGAGCTTAAACCAAGACTTGGATGCTTAACCGACTGAGTCACCACCCAGATGCCCCTGAATGGTTTTTTTTTTTTTTTTTTAATTGGACAACTGTATCTCTGTTTTGGTCACTGATGCCCCTGGGAATTAGAGAATCACCCTCCATGTGCAGTTTTTCCAGCACCTAATAAGGCTATATAAGGCACAGTGACTTAGAAAAATATAATTTAGAATTAGCCATGTATTAACATAATCATTATTTCATGAGAATTTCCCAATTATGTATCAGGGATTATTAATCCATTATTGCAGGTGATAGAACTAAGACTCAGTAAATTTGTGTCACTTGTTCAAGGCAAACAATCAGAAATGTTGGAGTTTGAGCCCATTTTTGGTCCTTTGACTCCAGATGTCATGCTTTCTTTGCTATATCTTATGGTTTCTCCAGGATGTTTATAAACTCCAGGAAAAGAAAAACAAACCTGTGGGGGGAAGAGATAGGGAAGAAGACAAGGAAGGAGAAATATCAGAAATGGTGTGAAGCTCTTATGGAGAATGCTGGTGCCAAAAGAGATCAGAGTTCACATAATAAAGGAAGGATTTGTGTTTATCTTTAGGAGATCTGCCTGGGGGCTCCAAGCCTGGGTTGGCTCCAAAGAGGAGAAAGCAATCTTGTACAACTTGGAAGGAGGTGTTGACTTTTAAATGTGTATGAAAGGCAGTGGGTAGGAAAAGCACATGTATGGGAATCAGAATACCTAGATTTTAGTCCCGATTCTGCCATTACTTTGTTGTGCCCTTAGAAAAGGTCCTTCTTGTTTTGTGCCTCAGTTTTATCAGTTTACAATGAGGTGTGTTCAACTTCATGGTTCTCAAATATTTTTCTCCCTTTCCATCAATTCCCATTGGTAGAGGCTACCAATAATTTGAGAAATGCCTGAAGTGAGACTCTGTAAACTGAGAATGCAAACTACTTTCTTGCCTATAAAAAACCTGGTTCCTTTTTCTTTTAAACAAAAAAAAAACTTTTTATACATTCTTTACTAATCACATATAGTGATTTTACATGTAATTGATTAGCTTGCTACATTGGGCTATGGAATTATTCTATATGGAATAATTTGTCCCTTTACACCTTGGTTATATCCGATAGAAGTTTCATAGGTGACAAAAAATTACAACTGATTTCCAGTGAAGGTGCCATCATTAATGATCACTACTGATCTTGGATTAGGAGATTTTGTCAGTAGTAACTATCAATATACTAAAGGGAATTGTTGGTTTATTTTACCAATTTTCTGAGAGATTTTTAGGTCAGAGATTTTAAACTAGAATTGAAAGCTCTTGGGGTACTGAAAAAGTTGGAGAAATTACAAATGTTATTTTGCAACTAATGCTGTTTTACTATGCAAATGAAGTCCAAATCTATCAACTAAATAATCAACCACCGGGTTAAGTTCAGAAGTTTTAGTGCAGAACTTAGTGCAGAAAAAAAGGGCAGTTTTTTTTTCACTTGCATATTGTTTTTGGGTATTCGTGAATATACAGAAATTAACTGTAGCATTTTATCCCTTGTCTAGAGTTTTAGCTTGGTGTGGATGGTGTGTGAAGAATTTTAGGGGGCTTATGAAGACCGTGAATTAATGGGAAAATTTGGCTCATATGTGAGTTTGTGAATATAGCTCTCATCAGCTTCTCAAAGATATCACAAAGGTAAAGAACCACCACTCTATATATCCTACAATAACATGCCACAATTCAGGTATTTCTTTGGTAAATGGGAAGCTGATTCGAATTATAGCTCTAAAATTTTTAATAAACCCTTAACCAAATGAGGGTTAATAATAAACCACTACAGGTGTATCATACCTCTTTTATACTTGATACTTAAAAAGCCAAATAAACAAAATAAAACCCATTATGGTGCAAAAAATTTTGATATAAATTAAAGGTAACCTAAATAAATGAAGGTATATCATATTCATGGATTAGAATATTAGATAATTTTAAGATATTCATTCTCCCTAAATCGATCTACAGAGTCAATGCAATTTCAATTATAATTCCAGCAGACTTTTTGGGTAGAAATCAACAAGTTGATTCCAAAAGTTATAGGAAGAAGCACAAGGCCTAGAATATCCATAGCAATCTTAAACAATAAGTACAAAGTTGGAGGATTTACACTATTTTATGATTTACCGTATAGCTATCATAATTAAAATAGTGTGATACTGCTTGTGGATAGACAAAAAGAGCAATAGAACAGAGTAGAGCCCAGAACTAGACCCCCCACTTATCCAGTCAAAGGCACCAGCACAATCTGGTGGGAAAAGAAGAATCTTTTCAGTAAATTATATAACTGGATATTCATATGGAAAAAATTGAACCTCAACCCTTACCTTACATGAAAAACAAAAATAATTCAGTATGGATCATATACCCAAATACAAACACTAGAAGAGGGATTAAGGAAATGAAAACACTATGAATCTTCTCAAAGTCACCAAAAATTATTTTCCTACTTCTTCAAGATATTGTTTCCTAATTCTCTTTCATAATTAAGTAGCCATACCCAATACTTAGAATACATTTCAGTTCAGTCTGGGTGGCTCTGAGATAAGCAATCGCTAAAAAAAGATTTAACTTCTACAATAAGTTAGATATAAAATCTGACAAACATACATTTTCTTATTACTCTGTTTATTATTGGAAGTTCAGGGCAAATAATTCACTTACCTTTGATGAACAAAATTGCCTAGGTTTAGCTCCAGTGATTCCAAAAGAGATTTTCCAGTCTTTAATATAATTTTGTTACAGAGATGAGAGTGTCTCTATATTCTCCTACTTGCTTCTCTTCCCACTGCCCATTCCCAAAAGTAAAAAATAAAACCTAACAACAAGAACAACAACAGTAACAGTGAACCATGCAACACAAAGTCATTTACCGGAGTCCGTAGAGAACCGTTCCATCAGGATGCAGTCGGATCATTCGATTTTTCACCGTAACCCCATGCACAAATGATTTCTTGTCATTCAGAAAGTAGGTGTCTGGCACCCAGAGTTGGTCAGCTACCCTGTTGTCTAACGTGAGGTTTAGCGGGATTCCAGAATAAGAAAGCCTTTTGTCTTTCCAAGACTGCTGGAAATACATGGTGAGTGTATAATCCTGTGAAACAAATGAAACAAAAAACCAAAAAATTTGGTCATCATCATCATCATCATCATCATCACTGTCATCATCACGATCATCATCAAAGGCCTTTCGTCATGAAAGTGATAGTCTGTGGTATCATACGTTCCCAAAGATCCACTGTCCTGCTCTCCCCGAAGTTACACCTGAATACAAGGAAATTTGCACCTTCAGGTATAGGGCAACCAACAGGTTAGAAGTACCGGCGCAATAATTGAAGGCATGCACAAGTGTTCACTCCAATGTAGGTTAAATCCATTTAGTTGAATTTTGAGGTTTAAAGTTAAGGTAATGGTCATGGGGTAGGTCATAAAGGAAAGTTGTGCTGAGAGATCCATGTGCACAAAAATCTACCTCTGGATTATATTTATGGTACTATTTTGGGGGGGGCATGTGTGCTCAATAATAACTAAAGAATGATGCACTTAAAAGGAGAAGGTGTTTTCCAAATTGCAAATGCCTTTTGAATGAATACTGCTCTTTGCCTTATAAAGGTCATCAATTACCATTATCTGGATCTTTCTAGCAAATTACAACTTGCCTCCTGGTACTGAAAAATAGTTTATAAAGCACATTTTGATGGAGACATTTATTTGGCCTGAGAACTGGTATCAGTGGTGGAACTGCTCAACTATTTCTCTCTTATCTCATTCCTGCTTTGTTTTAAGAACTGGTTTGACTTCAGAGCTGGGTTCGTATTTGAGTTTGTTTCCTCACTTCTTGTAAAAGATAACACTAAGGACATCCCTTTCCATTTTTTTTTTTTCCTCCCAGATTTCCCCTGGCAGTGAGAGACAGGAAGATTTGGGCTCAATAAATAGATCAAGCTACTAGAGAAAACCATGATGATTATCTGAGTTTTAGTTGTCTGTTTTTAAAGAGCTCCAGTAATACAAAATGTAATTGTCCATTAAAAAGGAGAAAATAGTGTACGCATGAGTAATCTCTGCATAGATTTAAGTAAGTGTGTGTGCATGGGTGCATGGGTGTGCATGTGTGTAGACCTTTTCCCTTCCTTTTCTGGAAACTGTTTTGTTTCCTGTGGAAAGAGAACTGTAGGCATGCAGTGAGATCTCTGCTCTACACAACTCCTACTCTGTTTTCACTAAATACTGGCTAAAAATCACATCATGGTTTGAAATTAAAGCAGTAATTTATTACCCTATTTGCAAGAAGAAGTAATTCAGTGCAAAGTATTTCTGCTTGTATTATGTTACATTTGGAAGTGGGTGATGTGGCACAAGTACCCTTCAGAACTTTTCTTATGTATTTCTAGCATTATTATTCTAATCCATGACCTGATTCCATGATAAATGGAAATATGGACATGAGATTGATAAACTTAATGAAAACTTTTTTGAAGAGAATGATAATCATGGTGATAATGATGAACATTATGTAAAGACTTAATATACAGCCATATCTCCTTTTGTACTATTTGTATTATAGTGCACGCATAACAATAATCTCTTTCTCCTGGAGACTGTTCTGTGCTCTGTGGTTCTCATAGCTTTTCATATCTATTATCACATTTTGTTATTACAACCTTGTGAGATAGGCAAATTCTCTCTGAGAGAATTTATTATTTACATGTCTGAGAAACTATTTGCTCTATTTAAAATAAAATATTCTAGCTGCATCTTAATAGAAATATTAACAGTGACATCTGTCTATGACTTGTCTTGGTGTATTACATTTTTAGATGGAACGGAAAGACTTAAAATTGCTGTATTTTGTCCCCTCATTCAACAGATTTTCTATTAATTCTTCATTAGTCCAAAGTGCAAGCACTCAAGGAAGGATGGAAAATTTTTCAGAAAGAAATTAAAGGTAACGATACTTTGAACAAGAACACTAAAACGATTTTTATTTGACATGTACTTATAATTGTTCAGCCAGCTTTCTCAAGTATGCAAGCTACTCTGTGAGAGGAAGAGCGACATATTTAGAAACTATGGGCCATAGGGGATTCTCTAACACTGACGCAAATTAATGGGATTAATGGGTGTGAGTTGGCTAACGAAATTGGTCAGGCTAATTCAGGCATGAGAGAATTTGATTCATTGAAGAAAAACAAGAGAGAGGATACCAAATCAGTAGTGCTCGATTACACTCCAAAAGGGCATATTTTTAAAATCTAAAAATGTTAGGGGAATAAGACAATATTTATAATAAATAAAAATAATTCTTGTGGAGAATAAAGGTTAAATCAGTGGTTTTAAATCCAGGACAATTTTGCCCCCAGAGGACATTTAGCAATGTCTAGAGACAGTTTTGGTTGTCACAACTGGGAGTGTGTGCTACTGGCATCTGTGGGTAGAGGCCAGGGATGCCTCCCAACATAATGCACTACACAGCACAGCCCCCACAACAAATAATCACCTGGCTCAAAAGGTCAATAGTGCCAAAGCCAAGAAACCCTGCCTTAGATGGAAATATCTTTCCTTTCAGTATTAATAAGATACTTCAAAATCCTTTATCACTATTTATCATGAAAAATATGTATATTAACAGGTCTACCTGAGCTTTTAACATATTCCTCAAAACTTTTGTGCCAGGGAATTCTGACATTAGATGGTTTATAATTTGCCACTTTATCATAAGAAATCATTTGATAAAAATCCATTTTCTAGCACTGGAATAAGGAAAAGGGGTTATGTGTTTTATTGAGGTCTGCTTCTTACCAGAATGAGCTCTGAGACTTTATAGTGGGTTGGAAAAGTGAGTCTTTTATGAGCTGCCTCCATGATCAGCACACATCTCAGGCTAGCTTGTTAGGGAAGAGATAAAATATTGCTTTAACATCCGGTAATATTGCATCCACTCAGAAAGAGGATATGAACGATCCCTTCTTTTCAAAGTATTCTTTTTTTTAAAGATTTTATTTATTTATTCACGAGAGACAGAGAGAGAGAGAGAGAGAAGCAGAGGGAGAAGCAGGCTTCCCGCTGAGCGGGGACCCCGATGCGGGACTCGATCCCAGGACCTTGGGATCATGACCTGAGCCAAAGGCAGACGCTTAACCATCTGAGCCACCCAGGCGCGCTCAAAGTATTCTTAAGAAAGGGAATGTGTGTGTGTGTGTGTGTGTGTGTGTGTGTGTGTGTGTATTAAAGAATCAATGCTCCTACACACATTTTTATTTTATCTTTCATAAATTTGGATAAACATTATAAAGCATTCCAACCACAAATCCTTGTTCCCTGTAAAATATTCATGCCAGTTTAGTTTTCCCCAAGAGCTGACTGTAGTAGAGCTGTGCATCATTGCCTGCCGGGTCTAGGGTCCCTTCTGTGAGGGAAACTGCCCTGCTGACAGTTCCTGCTGATTGAACAAGGCCACGTTCTATATTTCATGATCCTGTCCTCCTCCCACCGTGGAAGGGAGAGTAGATACCTGACTTAAAAGCAGCTGATCTACAGGCAGGAAATAAATCTGTGCCTGGCTCAAAAAGATGAGATGAACCAATCAGAGTCCTCTCCCAGAAATTAGCTCTTGTATAAAGAATCCGAGACGGGAGCTGTAGGACTAAATGCAGAAGTCATGACCTAGAACTAAGGTGCACTGCTATTGTGTGGTTGTGAGAGAGGAGAGACTGCGAATAAAGGGAGGAAGCCGGCCTGCACAGAAAGAAAGAGCCCGGAGAAAGATGCAAAAACTGGCCGGAAGATGAAGAGTCTGACATCGTCAGAGAATGAATGAGTGAGTTCAGGAAGGCTTTTACTTCCTATTTCTAGTTCTCATGAGGTGTGGACATGTGGACATGTTTGATACTTTCAATTCCCAGGAGCCCTTTTCGTGTTACTACAATAAATTCCACTTTCTATGTGCTGAGTTATTTTCATTTTTATGTTCTCTGACTAGAAAAAGCCATAATAATGATGCTGATCAACATCCATATCAGAATCTCATTCAGAACAAATTGCACATATTAAGGAAACCCAACAAAACCTCAATCATCTGGCCCATCTTCCTGATTTCGATAAAGGGAGCTATTATGAGAAACCTGAAACCCAGAGATGTTAAATGGCTGAAAAACAAAAGGGAGACACATTTGGCTTTGTTTATTAACCAGAAGAGTGAAGAGGGAGAAGGAAAATGTATTTTACTTCTATCAAGACAATTCCCTAGCCAACCCAATGACAATTATGAAGAAAAGTAACCTGGAGATCGGTGTGTATGCTGGCAATGAGTCGTATAGATTATAAGGATAGGAAAAAAAAAAAAACCACACATCTTGCATCTCATGCAAAGTTTAGTGGAAAATGGCCGGACAAATAAACCAATTTAAGTTGTGATTGAAATGAATCACACAACATCTGTTTCTAATGCAAGCTCCTGTTTAAATGAATGTTTTTGCATCAGTGTCTGATGAATCACAGACCTGTACCCCTGAAACAAATAATACATTGTATGTTAATTAATTGAATTTAAATAAAATAAATGAATAAATAAAATACACGCATTCTCATTGTTTCCAAAGCCCATGTTCTCATTCATTATTTTTATTTTTTGCCACCTGTAGCCTCATGACATGCCTCGAAGAACATAGTCTTCTTTACCTTTTTCTCATCCTAAATAGCCCCATTTGGTTTATCCATCTGTGTAGTCAGAATTTTTGTCAGTCTTGTGTTCTGTTCGGAACAATTCTGGAATTGATCCACCTTGTGGGAGAAGGTATGGGCCTATATTAAAACAGAGGCACCGCAGAAGATCACCTGGGCACACTGTTATACATGAACACATGTGTGACATGGATGTGACAGCTGGAGAAAAGCACTTGGGTTCTGAGGCAATGAACTGCATGACACCACCACTGTTGGAGACTAAGACTGTACAGTATAAGAATTTCAGCATTTGTAATCTCATACCTACTGTAGAAGCTCTAAAGATTTATTGTCTTTAAAAATATAAAAGCAGATCTGTGATTCAACAGTCTTGCACAATCGGAGGGGGAGATTAACCATGAGAGATGA